GGGAGGGAGGACACGGGAAGCTAAGAGTCTTTGCCGGGAGCCAGGAGGTGACGTCCATGGGCTGAATGGAGGTCCTCTGAAGACAGAGAGGCAGAGCTTCCCCTCTTCCTTCCCCTCTGTACCATCCAGACCCAGGTGCCTTGGGCGGGTCTTCTGCACTGTAGCATGCGCGGTTGCACAGCTGGTTTAGTTGAGCTCCTCCTCCTGGAGCCCACGCAGCCCAGACCCATCACACGAGGTTTGCGGGAGGAGGGAAGTGATGTAATGCCTCGCTGCTCTGTGGCCACTGAGTGCGACTGCCATGGTGTGGGACTGCGCATGCGTGTGCCGTGCCTGTGGGTCCGTGTGTGCATGTGTGTGTGGGCATGCAGTGTACGCACATATGTGCGTGTGCCTCTGCTTTCGTTTTGGAAAATTAACATGTTGCTTGCATCCCCTGCTTCCAGAAAACCCCGCAGGTCACCCTGTAAACAAGAAGCCTTCCTCCACTGTAAAGGAGCGGGGGTGTGTGTGTTTCATTTAATGCGTGGGAATTTACATATTGCTCTCAAGCTTCCTGGTAACGGGCAGACAGAAACTTCACAGCAGGCGATGATGGCCTCTGGTGCATCCCACCCTACCATAGAAACCCACACGTTAAGAGCCGTTTTCTTTATTTCATACATATTGAACCATGTGCTTGAGAGGAAGATCTCAAATTCACAGCTGAGAGTATCTCCTTACCAAAGAACATGACTGGAAATATTAACTGGAAATTTCTTTTTTGGCTCTAGGAATTTGAAGCTTACATTAATGCTTCTGGAGAACATGGAATTGTGGTTTTCTCCCTGGGATCCATGGTCTCGGAAATCCCGGAAAAGAAAGCGATGGCCATCGCTGGGGGTTTGGGCCAAATTCCTCAAACGGTGAGAAAACTTTCTGTGACTCCTTCATAAGTATCTTCGCAGGAATTATAAACCCAGACTTGGTGTTTCCAAATTAACCCTCTTAGTTGGAGCTTTGGATATTATATTCCCTGCCCTTCCCAACTACTAATCCAAAGTTCTTCCCTTTATCATTTTGTACATTTAACTCCCAGCTGCTCTTCAACCACGTCCTCTTCACTCTGAAGTCTCATTTTCTCTGAGAGATCCTAAAGTGTTAGGGAGAACATAGGTAGAAATACATAAATATGATGTTGTTTCTTCCTGAATGGAATGAGAATGTCTCCAGAAGGCTGCTCCTTAGGCCGTGGAATTTGTTCTACTTCTTTCTGCTTATATGACTCTGCAAACAGCTGATTTATGAACTAAACTTTCCCTGGAATCACAGAAAAGTTGCAAAATTCTAAATGTGCAGCTTGGTCGGTTTTTGTATCCACACAGCCAGCACAGCCTGATCGCTAAGCCCCCAGGACTAGACGCAGACACCGCCAGCCACGAAGAACTTCTTTGGCTAAGGCACCTGCCGTGCAGCGCCCTGTCCATTCTGTTCCTTGCAAGGACTCCTCATTCGGCTGCTATAGATTTAACAACATCCTATCGTGTCTCTTGTTAAGTTCTGTTCTGTCTGTCCCTGCAAGGTCCTGTGGCGCTACACTGGAACTCCACCATCGAATCTCGCGAAGAATACGATCCTTGTGAAGTGGTTACCCCAGAATGATCTGCTTGGTATGTCGGGAGAATGTGAGGTGTAGGTCGAGCCAGGCTGAATGCAGAAATGGCTAAGGCAGAGCTAATGTAAAGGACCGGATAGCTTGACAGCAGCACGGCCAGCAGGCCTCCCGCGTGTGTCTCCTGTGGGCTGTGGCTGTCTCTGCTCGCTGCCGCCAGGGACTTGTGGAGGTGGAGCTGAGCGCCCCCGCTGTGCACCGGAGACTCAGCCACTTGACCACCTGCGTCTGTTGTGCTTCTCAGGTCACCCGAAGACCCGGGCGTTTATCACGCATTCTGGCTCCCACGGTATCTACGAAGGGATCTGCAATGGGGTCCCCATGGTCATGATGCCCTTGTTTGGCGATCAGATGGACAACGCGAAGCGCATGGAGACGAGGGGAGCGGGTGTGACCCTGAATGTCCTTGAAATGACCTCCGATGATTTAGGAAATGCTCTCAAGAAGGTCATCTATGAGAAAAGGTAAGAGAAAAGCTGCAGAAGAATGCGATCTGTGTTGTCCCCTTCCCTCCGCTCTCCTCCTTCTCCTCTGCCTGCCTCCTCCTCCACCTTCAGAAGGAACGTGTCTTAGGTGTGGGTGTTTCCTGAGTAGTATAGAAACACATTTCCCTACCTCATTTAGGAAATGTGGTCGCCCCGAACTGGAAGCAGGTGTAAAGGTAGGACTTGCGCTGCCCTGTGTCCCAGGCACTTACATAACTGTCCTGTGCTTAGCTACAAGGAGAACATCATGCGCCTGTCCAGCCTGCACAAGGACCGCCCCATAGAGCCTCTGGACCTGGCTGTGTTCTGGGTGGAGTTTGTGATGAGGCACAAGGGGGCGCCGCACCT